TTATATACATTGTCATGACTTATAGGACCAGATCTGTTTATTTACTACATAAAAGCAGAGCTGTGACCGCAACCTGGATGTCTCAGCGTACACAAGCGGGCATGCAAGTGTGTTTGCGCTTTCACTTGCAAATCATTTAAGCCTTAAGTACAGTTTACTGAAGACAAAACTACAATAAAAACAAACTGCGCACAACAATACCATTATCCCTTTAACAATCGACTTGAATACAGATTGGCAGCGCTATGTGGGTATGTGTGTCAGTGCAGCAAATTTTGTATTTCCTTATATTAAAGCGCAAAGGCATACTTGCAGAATACAACTCACTAGCAACTTGATGTCTGTTTGCTTCTCTTAATGGTGCAACAATTGCAGCATTTCGCCACTTAAACTTAAAATTTACCAAGCGCAGGCGCCTCGACGCCAACACCGTGTTGCTTGTCCACTGCAGTGCCTGATGATGTTTTAATAATTCCGAAAATGATAAACAAGTCAGAAGCACAGAAATTCATTCCAGGCCTGTTGTTGTAAATATGAAATATACGCAAGGCAACGTTGTCGTAGCGCCCATACACTGAACTGCTCGGTGTCGTTCTACTGGGCGGCTAACTGAAACAAACCAATCACGACAATACGGAGAATATATTGCAAGGCTCATAATTCAAATACTTGCTTTGCATGCCTGCCTGTTTGCCTGTCTGGCTGCATGTTGGTTTGTGGCAACTGTCATTTGCAAGTTGCAGTAAATTCTGTTACACCCAAGGACATGTAAATGACTACAGTTTCCGGATATAGGCGCTATCAGACAGGTAGTAGACGTACGGATATATTTTGTTAAGAATCTTTTCAGGAAATAAATTTTCTTTGTGCTTTTTTGAATAAGTTTTTATAAATTGTGAGATACACTTGTGACTATTCGCACGGAGTATTTTAACTTAACATGGGTATTCCAAATTTGCAGTGCACTAGGGCCACTAAATAATAATATGTGATTGAGAAAATTTGACACTTCAGGCTTTTTTGTGACATCAAAGTATATATATTCTAAACAACTAGAAACATCAGCTAAATTTGGAGAAATTATTGCTTAGTATAGACAACAAAAAAAAAAAAAAAAACAATTATGATTTTCGTGAATGTTTTGCTGCTGTAACGTGTTTTTGGGTTTGCAACAATAATCTGTTAGTATTACTGCGCTTCATTTCCCTTAAAAGACCTTTTTCACCACAGAAAATGCCAGTACCTCACGCCTTATTCGTCACTCACAGGACTCAAAGAAAAAAAATCAGTAAGAAAGTCGATTTTTATGGACATATTACGTCCCAAAGCATTGTATGACATTTTAAGTTCATTTATAAAGTCTGTAGTTTTTGGATTTATGGTTTCTCAGAAAATTTTGGACAACGTTCCCAAACATTTCTAGGCGAGTTTTTCCTGATGGTACTGTTTTTCTTCAAATATTTTATTTTTCTCATTTTCCGTACTTGTGAATATATCCTCTTTCAATTTCGCTGAGTTTATGGAATTTTGTTTTTCAGATATACAAACCTTCTATTATCGTTAAGCATATTTTCAAATCAAATGAAGTGCAGTGAATTATTTTCACTTCGCCCACATTTTTTTGTAAAGTGATTATTTCTGTCCCATTTGCAAATGAAACAGCGACATTTTGTGTAGCCAAGCTGTAGTCCAAGCAAAAGTGCAATGACTTTGAAATCGCCCCAAATTTTTCGATTGTGTTTACTGCTTTCAATAATTTCAAGAAAAAATCTCATAATACGTAACTCTTTTTCATGTTGGAACCATGAACTTCCGGCAGTGAAAGAAGCTTATTTCCGTTTCCAGCAACGCTGCTTTCAAACTACTTATTGAATTGACTCCTAATCAAACCCTAATACATTCATCAAAACCGGAACGTTATAACAATTGAGCAAATCAACTGCTTTAGAAAAGTAAAATTTTATTTCATCGTCAAGATATCGAAAATAATGTGGTTGTAATATTTGGGAAAGATAATTATAAATAAACACCATCATTAGATGCTGAAATGATTTCCGAATTTTCTTTTATCTTCCATTTGCCAACTTTACAATTATTGCGCGCTTTGAAAAGTTCGATAAATATCGAATAACTTCAGAAACAATAAATTTGACGCTAAGGAGGATTCGAAGTTGTATATAAATCAAATATTAATTTTAAAGTTAAGGGAACTTTAAAGTCTCAGAAACTACCACAATTTTCGCAACACACTTAAATATTGCAGTTGTAAAACTCGTACTACAAATACCATAATTGTACTTAACTCACTTCCATCAGATTACTCTAGGTTCTCTACTGGTCACTGCTTACGGGGTTATTCGTGCCGAGTTATCAAAAGCGCGCAGTCGTTTCTTCTTTTTGCTATTTCCAATTCGAGATATCAAGTTCAACGAAGGTCTTCCTTCACCTTCACCTCTGCTTGCACCGACGAGTACTAACCCGAAAACCGTCATAGCTGGAGTGTTCTCTTCGTTCCGGATACGGTGGATTTGACTAAATATGCTTAGGTTAGCCGACGCGTTTGAATAGCTCGGACGGTAACACATCGCCACCTGCCGCTTTGTTGTTCTTTAGGCGGGTAATTGCTATTTGAACGTCATCCTGGTCAATCAATAGAAGATGTTCTATTGATTGACCAGGATTACCGTTCAGCAGACTGGAGAAGTGTTCCCTTCATAACATCAGTATGTTCTGAACATGAGCCATTTCATTTCTTTGGGTCCTACAAGAGTTTATTTAGCTTGCAATAGGTAAATCAAGCAAAAAGAAAATATTGAAATGAAACTTAGCCTAATTTTGTCATGGATATGTCGAAATTTCAATCATATGTTTGTCATAAAATCTGCTAAAGTTCCCGAGACGCTGCAGAATTCTATACAGCAATGTTTGTTCACATGAGCAAATAGAACCGAGAGCATATGTTGCCCCAACTTTTAGAACTAAATTTCAACACACACATTCATGAAATTTTCCTATTCACTAAAGGAAATTTTTGTGGAATATATTACTTTTTTATCGTTGTAATACTGGGATGTATATGTATGTGCAGACTGCTTGGCCACACTCAGTTTATTTCACTAAGCCCGCATACGTTTTAGCAATCGCAGTAATATTCAATCTCCAATAAAAATAAGGAAATCGCTTTGCTTTGATTTCAAATAAATTTTGGCTTTTAGAATGTAACGCGAGCAACAAAAGGAAATAGTAGAAACATAAATATCAAATATTTCATAATAAATATAATACATACTACGTATTTGGTAAGACTGTTCTGATATTTGATATTTTTTGCGTTCATAAAACATAGATTTCTATATTTTGACTTGTTAAAATCGCAAAGCTGTCTATGATTTACCAATACAAACATAGTAAACTTAACAAATAATCGGCATTTCCAAGAGAACAGACTTATATGAAATTCCAATTGCATTGTGTTGCATTTTGTTAATTTGTTGATTATATTTCTTTATAAATTTCCCTAGGTCCCAAAGTCATAGAATGCAACAACAAACGCACAAAAAGTTATTTGCATTTAGCTTTTATTTGAAGTGGTTTCCCAGTTTAGCACACGTACTATTTCTAAATGGATTTATTATACTTTTATTTTATATGCGTGACAACTCAGATATAAGCGCACTAGCCTAAATTCATATACCAGCAAAGTTAATAAAGAATACACATGTTCATTTTCTCTCGCATTCGCAATGCATGGCACATACTCGTATTATGATAATGCCTCTTCATTCGCTAGAACAGTTTGTGAATTAGTGCCAAAAGTGAGTATAAGATACTGTGTCACATTGTGTTGCTCATAATCGTGCAGGCGGTTTATGGGAATTACGTGATAATTGCATAATTTTAGGCGTTTAGCTTAACCGGCTTGTTAAACAAATGCTTAGAAGTTTGCTCTGTTATTTCCGGTTGTATACGCGTTTGTTTGTGCTAGACGTTAAGTAACAGCAAACTTTTTCACTGTTTTGTTTGGTAAAAATTCATTATATTATATGAGGAACGGTGAAGATATATTTATGATTTGACTCTGATCAAGATTTTATACCTTCAACAGAGTATATTAAGTTTGCAACGAACTTTGTTATACCCAGAAGGGTATGCTGGCTATACTATAAAATATATGCATAACGATTACGACGACGAGCTGAGTCGATTTAGGCAAAACTGTTCATCCATCTCTCCTTTTGTCTGTATATCCGTATACACCATTTAGTCACTCAGTTGAAGAGACATCGTTCTAAAATTTTACAAACATCCTTTCCTCTTCAAGAAGCTGTTCATTTTTCGGAATCACCGATATATCGGACCACTATAGCATATAGCTGCCATACAAACTGAACGATCGAAGTCTACTAATTGCATGGGACATTTTTTATTTGTCAATATATATTCGAGAAATTTGGTATGGACTATTATCCAAGGTATCATCGAAAAAATTGTTCCGATCGGAACACTATAGCACATAGCTACCGTGCAAACTGATCGAGCAAAATGTAATCCTTTATGTAATTTTTTTTTTTATTGTACAGTTTTTTTGCAGAAAACTTGGCACAAGTTATTGTCAAAGGCGACGGTATAATCTCCTAAAAAAACTACTAAGAACGTTCCATTATCCGACTCACCCACCAAAATAGAGCTAAAGATCTTTTCATGCTCTCGTATGCCATACTAAAGGTGCTTGTGAAGGGTATTAGAGCTTTGCTGCAGCCGAAATTAACATGTCTTTTTTTGTTAATTCTGAAATAAACAAAATAGCATTAATGACGCTAATTGTATTATCATTTATATCCTTTAATCAACTTTAATATGTCCTTTAAGTGCTATTACAATCTGCCAAGTAATTACACCAGTGCCGAAGTAGTATAATCACACTTGCATATTTAATTTATGTTTCCACACACTCAACTTAACCACATTTTCATTCTTCTTTATACCTCTTCTACTAACAGTAACAAAATTTATACGCATTGGCATCGCCGATAAGAACGACAACCCGCCTTATTTCGACAAGTCGCTCTACGAGGCAGAAGTGGATGAGAACGAAGATATCCAACACACTGTGCTGACCGTTACAGCCAAAGATCACGACGAATGTAAGCACATAAGCACTCAAGTATACTTACTATATATTATAGTTGTACAACAACAACAATGCTTCAAGGAAAATTGTCTATATAAATGTGTTTTTTTATCTTTTCCAATTCTTTTAAATGCCAAATCCAACAACATTTTGAAATGGATCGCACATTGTGCTCGAAATACATTTGTTTATATATAATGTTTCAAATGAAATTAAAAATGTCAACATTGTCAACACTTACAACAACGTTCTCCGCCACTTTTTTTATTACATCTGTCACTGATGGCCATTGGCTTTTGAAACGCGTGCAGCATCGCGTATACGTTACGAAATTACGAGTGGCAACATTGGTGGCGCTTTCGCTGTGAAAAATATGACTGGAGCCATTTATGTGGCCGGTGCATTGGACTACGAAACTCGCCGAAGGGTAAGCTGATAGACGATAAGTTTTCCTCTTATATATTTTGTTTATGTGTATTTATCAATTTTAAAAGACACTTTGCCTTATATGAACGTCTGCAGATGTAGTTTTTCGGAAAGATTCGACATGTGAGCGAGCTTTATGCTTTCACTCCAATGGATATGAAGCATAAGGTCACAGCTCTTTATACTGACAGTTGGAGTTTATGCCACACTCAAAATTAGCGCGATTTCGTTTCTAGCAGGCAATCAAATACATTTTTAGCTCGCAATAAAAGAGTTTTGCGATCGTGAAAGTAAGCGTTTTAGTGCAGAAGAGTGATAATAATAGCAAAAGCACTAGGTATTACTAGATATGCCGGAAAAATCAATGTGTATGTTGAATGAAAAAAAAATTTAAAACATTTTTGAGCAGTTTATTGAAATTTTAACAATAACTTCAAGTTATTGTGAACTCATAGCCAATTTCACAACTTTTAATTGCTTTCAAAAGTAACTTTTTCCATGAAACTCCACAATGCAGGTTCGAAGCACTATTTGGCATAAAAATCATAGAACTATAATGGCATACTATATATGAAGGTTGAAGGCTTCAAGTGACATTGATAAGTGAAGTTTTGCTGAAACTAAACGAACTGCTTTCTAAAGGAATTTAATACCAAAATGAAACTAAAACTGAAATTGAAACCTGAAAAGCTGCACAATAGAAACAAATATTTCTTGGAATTCGTACAAAAGATTTAAATAAAATTCATAAAGCGAAATATGCAGCTGTCACTATTCATAAAGCGTGCATGTATGCACATATGCATATTTACAGTTAGTTATGTGTTCATACATGTGACACATGATGGCTTAACCGGTTTGCCAATCGTTCATTTCGATATATACTAGTGTGCACATATTTGCTACATAAGGCAGGTTATTGGTTCAAGTTTACTAGACCCCTCCTCTAATTGAATTGCCGTGCTATGCATCATGTATTTTCCATATACACATGTGTTGCCACACTTTAACGTGTACGGGCGGCCATTCAAAACCGAAAATAAAATCAACCTGTTATCAGTTTCTTTGCAACTAGTGCTAACCGTTAGTTTCATTAGTCAACAAAATATTATTTTACCACACGTGTTGATACCTTACGAGCAGTTAATCATCAGATGTGGTTAGATTTTGATTCAAAAAAAGATTCACACATTGCTGTCTAAGTTACTTTATCGCAAAGAATTGTTTTCGACCAACTGCTCCCTTTTTATAAAAAAAAAGGGATTCACCTTTCTTTCAGTTAACTCTTCAAAAGGTTGCTAAAGAATGACGTTTTCCGATTACTTAGATTTTAGCCAAATCATTCTAGTTCTAAACTACTTTTTCTTATTCACCAGTTGCACGTTTCCTTGTAGGGAAACTACCAGTTACACAATTTACAGCATGAAAATTTGAAAAGCGTGACCAACTTTAACAAAACGCCACATAAAATATTCTAGCCAAATGTGCCACAATTTTTTTTTTTTTTTTTTTTTTTTTTTTTTTTTTTTTTTTTTTTTTTTTTTTTTTKTTTTTTTTTTTGTGTGTTGTTACATACGTCTCCCTGACAACCGTAGCCAAAGCGGGAGCCATCATAGCATCACGTATGCTCACACTAAGCAAATCTCACTATTCGGCGTTCCAACGAATTCAATATACCACATTTCGTTTCATCCGTTAGCACTAGTTCAAGTACATTTCATTTATTTACTTATTTATAGGTGCATAAATATTGCTACCAAATTTCTGTCTGCAGTATCTTTCGATTGTTTCAGCAAACTATATATGTATGTATATGTATACATGTTGCTTGGAATTTGACTGTGTTATTGCAACAGTGAAAAGTGTGTAACTGCATAGAGTCATTTGAACAATTGGAGTTCATAGCTGCTGCTATTTTATGAGCTCTGCAAGCGAAGTGCGAAACTCGTTGGCTAGTATTGGAAGAATGGAGCTAAAATACAAATATATTTGTATAAAGCACTTTTTAAATGTCTTCAATTATATGTATTCAATATAAGAACATAATAGTTTAGTCATACTTTTTTCATTTTCGTTACTTCCACGCTCAATTTTTGTATTAGTAAGTTGTGTAAAAATTAAGACACCTGTTATCTTGTTACACATGTTGCTTGGCAATTGTAAGTAAGAAGGAGTTCGCAAATGAGCGTAATCGGATCACTGCCACGCCTATAAAATGCCATCAGCTGAGAACCTATGAAAAACTGGGCGTGGCGCCATATGTATTCTAAACCACCAAAGCTGCATTAACCAAATTTGCTTAGAATAATTCTGATAAGAACTATTAATGACAGTGTGAAAATATATGAAATAGGTTGATAACCACGCCCACTCTCCATATAATGGTACTTTTAAAATCTACTAAAATCGCGATAAATAAATAGCTAAACATGCCACGTAAAGTAAGTTTTACTTCCGAGATGTTATGAGAGGATTTCATACGAGCCGGTGCAAAACTTAAATTATGAGCTCATATCTCAGGATCTGCCCGATCGATTTCAATCAAATTGGGTATGTTACATTCTTATGCTACAGTTCCCATAGGATATAATTTTAAATTCCATTTGATTCTTTACTTTCCATTGTGCAAATCAAGAAGTAATCAATATAACGGGATAAAACTTTGCACGAATACTGGCTTTAGCGTGTGCGACCTTAAGACCAAAAATTCTTCAAATCCAATAAAACTTGTACCAGCCACTAGGCACCGAGTATGTGGATCCCTGTATCGAAAATGTCGGTCAATGTGTGATATATATATAATGGAAATTAAGAGACATATTTCTCTTATATACTTCCCTAAGCCCTCATATACGAGGGCTTAGATTTTCGAACTTACGGGTGACTTGTATAGCATAATTCGGCCATATGCGAGTTATCCCAATGAAAATAAGAGAGCGTGTTTTACTCACAACAGTGTATCTTTGTGCCAAACGTAGATAAATTTTAACGAAAACTGGACTTAGCCCTCATATAAGTATTATCAGAATTTTAGGATTTTCAAACATTCGGCTGATCTTGCTCTATATTTTTCTAACAAACCTTATGTTGAATATGTCGGTCAGTGTATGAGTTATATAGAATATAGAGTATATGAGTACATATGAGATTTCGATCCTCTGGTTGACATTTTACATCTTAAGGTATTTCCCTGGCATTGACTACTCCAACTGGCAAGAGTATACAAAGTTCGGTTGCACCACCAACTTAGCCCTTACTAAATATGATTAAACTTTTTTGATTAAAATCGAGGTCTGTAAAAAATCTCTAGACTTATAGATTTTCTTAAAATCGTTCGGAACTAAATGAGTCCAAGTAAAAACTTTCTGTGAGGATAAAAATTTAACGGTTTCGAACACCAAAATATATTTCTAAGATAAAATAAATGATGATAAATAGATTGAAATGCAGTGCGTATCAAAAAGTGCGTACGCTCGTGTAAATTTATGTACATATCTAGAAAAATATTTGTATTTTTAATCCATTTTTTCTTACAAACATTTCGATAAGAAATCAAAAGACAAGAAAAATTGCAGAAGAGATAAAGTCGAGTTGACAACTTCTTGAATATTGGATATTTTTAACAAACATTGCAACGCGCGAACAGTAACACATACCTTTTAAATTGTGCAAAATACAAAATGTAGTAATCAAGGTTTAGCCCTATATTTATGGTACTTAAATGTGCGGTAGTAAACTTTTAAGACTTTCAATAATACGAGTATATAATACACAATAAATATAAATTTTTATTAATGCGGTATATAGTATATATGGTTCCTGTTGCCATTATAGGTCCCGAAATATTATCGTAAAGTATTAGAATTCTATGTTTTTTTTTTTAAATAAATAGCAAGAACGTTGTAAAACCTTTTCCTTAAATTTGCTCACTCAAATAATGCGCTTCTCATCTTTAACCGAACAAACATAGTATGAACTGCGTTTAGCCGCTTCCGATAACTTGAAGGAAAACTACACGACCGTCATAATTCACGTTAAGGATGTCAACGATAATCCACCAGTTTTTGAACGTCCCACCTATCGCACGCAAATCACCGAAGAAGATGACCGCAATTTGCCGAAACGTGTGCTTCAGGTTATTGGCCATATAACGTTAATATAATCGCACACTTTTGCTCATATTTTGTAAATGTGTAACTTAGTAACTTAGTAGACGTCAATTTTGAATGCAATTTTTATAAACTATTTTTTTTTTTTTTTTTTTTTTTTTTTTTTATTTGAGTTTTTTTTTTTTTTTTTTTTTTTTTTTTTTTTTTTTTTTTTTTTTTTTGTAATTTGAGCAAGGCTAGAGCAACTTTGCGCTGTATTTGGAGCTTTCGTGCTTTATACACCTTTAGCACCATTTTAGCTGTTGTTGTTTGCGTTACGAGCTCCGTTTAGCATTGTGGCAATCTTTGTTAACTGTAATTTTTGTTTTGCTTCACTTATGTGCACGCTTGACATACATAGGTTCCCTGTCAACAATGTTTATGCTCCAAAAAATTACTATTTTTGCCTTAAAAGCATTTTGAATATTATTTTAATTTTTAATATCCGTTGAATTTTAATATGATATTATTAAATTATTGTTATGTCTTTCTGCATGATTTTAACTTAAGATTTTTTTAAATATACATGCCGCCTTAAAATTGCTTATTGTGGTAGGTTTTTTGCATAGCTTACATGAATACTGAGTTTCACTTACTTTAAAATATTTTTTTTTTTACCACAACGAAACGCATTTGCGAAACGTTATTAAATATCAAAACTACTTCTGCGTTAGTTGATGCTTATTATGCAGAATAATTGTCATTATATTAATTATATAGCTGTAAAAAGCATAGGTGGTCATATACAATACAATAGCGAATCGAACAAACAACTTGTATAAATTATCTAATCTGACATTAGCAGAAATAGAGTCCTTTAGGTGATGATATTTTAATCAGGTAAACTCACACTGTTACACTGATTTCAGTTGATTTACTTTGTTGTTGCTTTGGCATGTAAGAGAATGCAAAAATGGCTCACCTCGCGAGATCTTCCATTGTAGCAATGTTTACTAAATCAAGTGCAAATTCATGATTTAGTTTTCAGGATATGTACTAAAGTCGTATGACTTATTAAAGAAAGATGCTTGAAACATACTGCTGACCATTTTGTTACCAAAAGGAGAGAGTTTTATAGGATTACTTGCGTTTTCCCGAGGAATATCATCATATTCTCTATATACATCCGTAGTCAATGAAATATTACCACCCTCGGTAGTTTGAAATATCAGATTAACCTTGTATTGAAATTCAAGTATTAATGCATTAAAAATTATGAATTTTCAAATTCTAATGCTAACATACATACAATGTCGTATGGGTATCATTTTATTTCATTTTCTTTGAATTTGGTGAATATTTTGGTTCTTCTGACAAAGATAGGTTTTATAACTAATAACAAACCATTAAAATTTGTTAGCATTTTATATGCCTTCTTTGAGCATTCAGAATAGCCGTAATCCTTTGGAGCATGCATGCAAGCAATTTTGACGAATAAACAACTTTTACGTCGGTATTCCATTAGATTACATTAGATTAGATAAGTAAGTGAGGATTGCACCACGACCTAGGGTCTTTTGTGCCATCTCCCAAGTCACAACGTCTCAACAACGACCGAGCAAATTGATAAATTCCAAAATTCGGCTAGGTGCTATTGAGGCGTTGTGATCCCTATTTGGAAACATGTATCCAAGGTTCTTTATCCTGCGCCTACACACTGCTGTGCAGTCGATGAGCAGGTGTTTCAGACTCCAAGTCGCAGAACCGGCAATTCACACAAGAAGCTAGGCCCATAAGTGCTTCTCGAGATTCGGTATTAAATGCTTTACTTATGCATAATTTTGACTCCGCTTTACTCCTAGAAGTTTTCCATGCATTATGTTGTTTCAAAATAGCCCAGCAATTTCAGATATGATTTATACCTTGGCTATTTTGCTGGCCGTTTTAAAGTTTGTGTAACGCTTCGCTCCAAATATCCTTTCAACTTCAATATATATAAATTTATGTGTATATATATTTTAAAAGACATTTTATTTATTTTTAAGAAAAAAGAGAAGTTTTAACTAATATGTAAAAATATTTTTTTTTTATTTTATTAAAGCTTACATAATAAACAAATTATTAAATAAACTAAAGTACGCAGCGCTAGCATCAAAGGCTTTCGGCTGATGTAAAAATATAATAATGTCAATATATCCACACAAAAAATCAAACCACAAACCATGTAGCTCACTGAAAATTTGTTTCTGGTTATCACGGTACTTCGACTGGATTCCATCAGACTTATTAATTTTTTTTTTTTTTTTTATCTTAATGACTCACTCTTCAGTAGTACCAGCAAATACTCGCTTATATGTACAGACGAGTATATGCATATATTAGATTACTCTGATAATTAAGTGGTTATATACAGTTAGAAGGCCAAAAAGCGATTTTTTCTGAGAAAACTTTTTAATTTATTGATCTAATAATTTATACACATATTATAGTATCTTTTAATTGTATATCTGGATTTTATATTAGTAAAATTATTTATTTGGAAAGGAACTAGAGCTGATATCCGAGAGCCCTCTCAACAATTTTTTTGCAATAGGCGATTCTCGAAAAAAAAAAAACGATTTTTGTGGAATATTTGTCGATGAGAAAAACGCGTTTAAAGTTTGCCACTAGACTTCCAAGCACTTCTGCCTTCCAAAATATTTACCGGAACGATAGGAAATTTTTTGTGTGTATTTTTAGATATATTTACGCTGAAAAAATTATAAAATAAAAATCGATCTTAAAACGAAATTAGTAAAATATTGAATAAATTACGTTACATCCGAAGCACACCCTATTTGCGACACGACCGTTGACAAAGTTCTTGAAACATTTCACTCATTTTATTAGCTAAATTTAGATATTAAATTGTTTACACTTACACATTTTACACACACACATTTATTATTTTGCATTTTTTGTTGTTTTTTTTTTATTTTCACGATATTTAAAGTACGATTTAAAATTGGTTGCCTCCGATAGTTTGAATGAGAATTCAACAACAATCGTGATTTATGTGCGCGATGTCAATGACCTGCCGCCGGTCTTTCCACAAACCCTATACGAGCGCACGCTGGACGAGGAGCTGAATGCGCCCTTCACCATCATGCAGGTCGCTAAATTTTTCAAAGAAAAAATATGTTTTATTAAATTAGTTATTAATTGTCACATAACCGAATTAATCAATTATTTTGATTTTTACAAATTATAATTTTTATACTTTTCTATTGTTTGTTAACTCTAAACCAACGGAATGGTCACTTTATACACATGTACCATACTTGTATATAATATTTCATACAAAAATACTTGGATAATTTTAATAAACTCTAATAATGGTTTGAGCGGCGGTGCCCAATTAACAAATACATTTGTATATAGTAATCTGGTAGTACTTTGTGCGTAATGCGTTATGTAATTAATTAAATCATTTTATCATTAATTCAGCAGTTCAAATTGGTGTGAAAATAGCATTGTCATAAAATATCTAACATTCATTAGATTGTAGTGGTTATCAGGTATCCTATTTCAACCTTAAATTCCAATTACAATTCCAATTGAAATTGCAAACATATTGCCCACAGCCAGGGATGTGCACTAATTAATGGTTTTGCATTTATGGAGAGCTAGAGCAAAACTGAATATGTTGCTCTTTTATTTAATTATAATTTAATAAAATCTAATAAAGTACCATTCAGCACAAGTAGAGGTTAGGCGACCGCCGTTTACGCTAATGAAACTATAATATTTGTTCTTTTGTAAATTAATACAGCCAAAGTCATATATGTCTATTACACAAAATGTTATTGATTCATATCATAAATATAAGTACGTGAGCAGTGAGCAGTACGAATAATTACACTGCTGAGTTAGCAGAACTCGAAGTACATTTAATTTCATATATGTAATAAATAAATAAATTACATATGTTGAATTTATTTCCATACAACTTTTTACGCTATTTAATCTAAACATAATTGAATTAAGCTCAAACTAAAATTTAATTAAACGCTTTCGGAATTTATCATCCACGTAGCGTGCAGACAGGACATTTCATATACATTTGAATAAAAATAAGCTTGTTTCGCAAAACTCAACTTTATTATTACTGGCAACTGCGGCAGTCCAATCATCTTTCAATTTAATGATGCCGAGTTTTTACGGGACGATTTTTGTTTTGCTCAAGATAGACTGTAGACCGGTCAATCACTTTCTAGAGATCATACGCTTCAGACATCGATCTTATATATAGCATTCATTATTTTTCCTTCAAAAAACTATTCCTTTATCGTAATTCTATAGCATATAGTTGCTATATTAACTAACCGATTCTTTATTCTTGTGAAAGTACTTTCGATGCCATTATGTATAGAACTGGATTTCTTTTGCATATCCACCAGACCCAGAGTCCACACACTGAACCCAATTTTTGATGATTTTCAAGCATAGATCGGCCGATACTGCTGCAATGTCACTTTCGATATTCTTACGAAGTTCATAAATCGTCGCTGGTTCGTTTGCAGTCGTTTGACCATAGACTTGACGTAGCCTCACAAGAAATAGTATAACGGCGTCAAAGTGCATGACCGAGGCGGCCAATAGACTGGGCCATTTCGTAATATAACACTTTCATCAAACTGGATTTTCAATTAATCGATTGTGACATTCGCTGTATAGCTTATGGTGTCATTCTATTGGAACCACATTTGGTCCAAGTACGTATCACCCAATTCGTGCCAAAAATATTTGGTTATCATTGAGCGGTAGCACTTCCCATTCACAGTAATGTACCGGCCTTGATCATCACGGAAGATTCATGTCGCCGCCTGGCCATAAATCGCTCAAAACCTTAATTATTTTGGGATGCAATGGTAACTCATGAAGTACGTGTGGATTGCTGCCTGATCAATAACGCATATTGTGCGTATTGATGAAGCCATTCAGCCAGAAATCAGCCTCATCGCTGCAGATAATTTTTCGATGAAAGTCCGAATCATTTTCAAGTGGTTGCTCAGCCCAACTCACGAACATACGACCATTCTGGCGATTAAGTGAAGTCAATTTGATCTTGTACGGATGTAGGTAAGAACTTTTTGCAAAATTCGTCACAAGGACGCCACAGAGTTACCCAACGCTTGATAACGAATGTGAGAGACTATTTTAAGTATTCCCCAATTGATGCGCCTTTGTCTCACTGGCACAGGAACATTTTGTACTACGCCTGTTGATTTATTTTTTCGAATCTTACTGATAAGAACTGTCCAAAAAGCGGGCAAAATATGGCAACGTTTGCTGTTCCTATCGGTATTTTGGCGGTATTTTTATTGAGTTTTCAATTGTTCAAAAAAGTTTTTTTGGTGACTCGTGCCCAGCTCTTGACCGATGCTACGGCTGCTACTATGCCGGTCTTCGACGACAGGCCTTCCGGAGCGTGGCGCATCTTCGACCACCTCTACACCAGAACGAAAACGTTGAAACCATTGTTGTGCGGTGGAAATGAAAACTGTATCGGGTCCATAAACTGCACAAATTTTATTGGCGGCTTGAGATGCATTTTTGCCTTTATCGTAGTAGTACTGTAAAATGTGCCGTATTTTCTCTTTATTTTGCTCCATGTTTGCGACGCTATAACTCACGAACGACTTAAAAGAAGCGACAATAAATCAAACACGTGTTAGCGTGTGAAATGAGCTTTCCTAAAAGGTATAGCCTTTATTATGATCCGATGTGACGAATAAAACTAGAACTACGCGCTCTCAGCGCCAACTAGCGAAAATACCGCAAGACTTTTTTGACAAACTATGTATAATTGCTATCAAAAGTAGTAGAACATTAATTCAGAACAGTTTGGTTTGTTGAAACTTTCTGTTATATGAGTAAGAGAAGTTTTATACTGAAACTGAGAAATTTGGTTGCTACGGAATGACTTTATGAGCATATTATGTAAAGAAAATTGTTTTAAAACTGTGATATTTATAAGCAACGCACACGTGTTCATACATTATCAAACTGAAATTTGTTCACCAATAATTCCTAGAATTTTATAAATGTAAAAGTAATACAATATTCAAAAGCTGAAATTTACAGGTGCTATAGGGAAAAAATGCCTGAAGTTAAATTGAATTATTGCAAAATACTTTTCCATATTCTATTGTGACTTAAATGCATGTAAGTTGTGTGTATTCAAAAAATGTTTTATTTAGCACATAGCACATATGTATAAAGCTTCTTGGGATATAAATATCAAAATAGCATGTTCTAACAAAGCTTTTATAAAAAAAAAAAATAATATTTTTAAATTTATGGCGGTAGATTGCACGATTCGTTGATATTTGCATTACTGTTACTTTAGCTTTGTTGCCCTAAATTGTTGCATGCGTCTCGCCAAATATGTATCTTAGTGTATATTGGATGAAATTTATACTACTTTAAAATTACATTTTCAACTCACATACAGAGTAATTTTCTGCGTTTTTCAATTCGTTATTAATAAAATATATTTGCTTACTTTTCTGCTTGCACTGTGTGAAACTGGTTTGGACCGCCTTTGATTTTGCCTACATAACAGGTCACCGCCACCGATGGAGATAAGGATCGCCCTCAAAATATCGTTTACTTTTTGACAGGTCAAGGCATCGATCCGGATAATCCCGCCAATAGCAAATTCGATATAAATCGCACCACGGGAGAAATATTCGTGCTGAAGGTGAGTGATTGAAAGTTTAATTAATTTACGTTCACGGTCGGTTTCATACAAAAATATCGTATAATTATTGAAATAAAATCTACAGTGTTGCCGGGACAGGCGCCATTATCATTAACTTTTTTTTTTTTTTTTTTTTTTTTTTTTTTTTTTTTTTTTTTTTTTTTTTTTTTTTTTTTAATGAGCGACATAATTTTTTATGAGCAGTAGATGAGGAAATGAAAAGGGAAGATGTAGACAATTTTTCCTAAAGAGTTGTGAACTAGCATAAAGATTTTCATGAATAGTCAGTAAGGATAAGTCATCGAAAATAATACTAACTTAACTTTATTATATTTAATATTTCTTATTTATTTTTTAATAAGATAATATATTTTTTTTTAAATTCTTCAGGGTGCATTTTCTCTTTCCAAGTAAATATTGCAAAATACACTTTAGGGCAGACAATAATTGACTTTCATCGAGTATAATTTTGAATTTTCCTGTAATCCGAAGTTCTCTGCATATAGCACTTTGCCATATTCTGAGAAAATGCTCGATACCTTCATTTTCAGCCCTTCTGTGTTGCGCTGCGATTGATTGATTCATGATTGCAATTGCACGAGATGGGCTGGCATGATTACGAAATGCAGCAGCATTCTGTTTGCCCAGTGTTTAAAATAAGTGAAAATCTCATTAAAAGCAAGATTAAGCGCGCACAAAAGTAGACTACGATTTCGCTGTTGGCCAAGCGAGCGCCTTAAATGCATGCAGTACACACTACAATCGCAATAAAAGCATTTACGGTTGCAGAAGACAGGTAAGGCAGAGATAACAACTGCATGAGTGCGGTAAGTAAGCCACAGCAGATGATTGCCTGATTATCCAGGGCTATAAAAGCCTACAATGAATACAGCGCAATTGTAAAAGGGTAAACGCAAGGGTGAAGAAACGAAATACACCACAGTTTGTGTATACATGCATACATACTACATGTGTATATAATTATGCGTTGCTTAATTGAGAAAGTGAAATACGCAGAAGATGTATGGGCGCAGTCAAGTGCGTATGTGGGTCGTTGTAAAATATATGTATTTATGTAGGCCGCAATAAACGTGAGTCGCGTGTGAAAAGCACCAATAAATTACAGTTATAAATGGAGGAGAAATAATTAAAAGAAACCGTACATTTTACCAAGCCGAAGTAAATGCGCGTAAAGCTAGCACTTCTTATCTATAAGTCAGGTAAAGCCAACGAAAGCGTTTTTCGTGTGTATTTCAGCTAAAAGAGAAAATAAATAAAGTTTCCAGAAGCATTAAAGGAAAATATAATATTTGCTATTGCATGCGCTCACCCTCCTGTAATGCGTTGCATACATACATACATATATTTCTTATATCAGCTACAGCATTGAACTTTACGAAAATTTTCATAAATTCACATGGCTGCAACATTAAAAATGTATTTCGGCTTTATGGGCGTACTTAAGCTTGCGCTAAGCACCGCAGAGAGAATTTCGCCTGTATCTAATAAATTTACCCTGCATATGCATGGCGCAAATGCCACCGCTGCTACCCACAAACCTCTTTATGCAAATGCTCGCTAAGTCTAACTGCATTCGCTGGCACTTCACCTGCCACAGCTGCAGTGGCGCTATTGTCAATGGCTTCGTAGAGATTGTGGTCGAAAAATTTATGCGTTCCACGCGCTGCACAGATATGCAGCTATGTTTTGTCTCGCCTGCATCCATTCACACACTAAAGTTTGCATAAAACTCTACGGAGCAGCCAAGCCAAACGAATCGGGAGCTCTTAATATTCATGTTGTAGTAAGCAGTCGAAATTCATCAAATGGCAGTGGTTTCAGTTTGTTTTTTTTTTTTTTCAACAAACCCACGTGACAGAAAATACCAAGTACCTCGTGCACCTTTCTAGTCGAAGGTGGCTTTTGAGTTATGCGATGTGTGCTGATAAACATACTCGTATTGTACTCGTATGCAGCGCGAAGACACGTGTGTCAGAGATTTGTCTAGCAAATTATCACATCCACTGCAGCCAAGAAAGCGATAATCCTTTATGTTGTACCCACATGCATATGTATATCCTAGTCGGAATCATTCTCCTACATACGACCTTTGAATGTTGTTTCATGAGTGCTCACTGTCACTTAGGTACTCACTTATGTCCTCGCATACACTTTGTGGAGAAAGCATGAAGAGTTTCCTTACATCGAGCTATGTTGGCTTGATTATATGCATACTAATAAAGGGTAATCCATTTCGAGGTTCCCTATTTTTTGAAAGAAAAAGCAGAGAAGTTTCAATTTTCATGGGAAATGTTTAGTATCATGCAAAAGAACATTCTTTGGCATTTATTTTTTCGAAGATTATCACTTTCAAATGGCCGCGGCAACTTCTCAGATGGTTCATTCGTTGAGTCCAATTTTCGATAGCTCATTCGAACTTTTCGAATGCTAACTGGCAAATAACATGTGCACGATGTTTCGCTTCAAGGCTTGAATTGAAAGGCTTGTCCGCATATATGTACTTTAGACTTTACATATCTTCCCATGAAAAAGTCTAACGGTGCGACGGTCTAACGGCCGATCGACCGTCTCAAAATGTGAAATTTGATCAATTAAGTCAATCAAATAGTCGGTTACCATGGCGCGATAACGGTCGCAATTGACAGTTAAGTTCTCACCGATATCATTTTCGAAGAAATATGAACCGATGATTCGGCCCACAAATCAGACCATACTTTTTTTTTTTTGTTTTGATGAGATGTCAGTTCTTGAAACTCTTAATGTTTCACTTCGTTCCAAATGGTCCAATTTTGTTTGTTTAGATACCCATTGAGCCAGAAATGGGCCGATGAACAAAATTTTACTTGGAAACGTCAGAGCTTCTTAGAACTATTCAAGAGCCCGTTAAGTAAGGGTATAGGCTAGTGATTGTTTATAAATAGCCGTGATTTTTTGTTCATTATCTATTTCTATTCTATATTGCAATTTTCAAGGAAAAATATCAAACCAGTATCATCACTTCCATAAAATATTCTTATATATTATTTTGAGTGTGAACACATGTACATGTTACATGTTATTTATTTTATTTACCAATATTACAGTTAAGTGAGGTTTATGACTACAAAATGAATAAATTTATTATTTTAGCTCTACCTGAAATATGTTAAAAAAAAGCAACAATTCTGTGTATATTTGTAAATCAATTGAAATGAAATAAATAAACGTTGTCTTCAAACTTTCATTGAATATTCCCAAATGTATAACTGAGAAATAATGTTTGTGTTTATTTTTCCTAAGAGCTTTTCTAATATATGTACATAATTTTAATGCCCCCAACTTGTTTCGCAATGTACAACTGTGGCAATGATTTTGATGACAATCATATACGAATACATATGTAATTCTAACACATGTGCAATATGACATTTTGAATGAAGTATTAAACACAAGTTTATATTTACGTGAAGATGTACTACACATATACTATAAACGTGCGCATGTCGGCAAAACTTTGCTGTTCAAATATTCTACTAACTAGGGAACAAATACAGAACTTGCATAAATTATTTTCTGCCGCTACTTGTATGAGCAGCTTTCGAATGTTTCATGGCCAAATTTTTAAATGCATGTCTACAAAATAATCAAATAAACGATTGCTTCTGTTTCACCATATCGGAAATTTTATATTCTGGCAAAATATGTATATTGTGGTTAATGGAGAGGACTGCGTCTTAATCGGAGAGATCAAAATGCATACTTCTCAACGAAGTTCCCAAAATATAAAGCACCTAATTGCTTACCAACCCTCTATAAAAATTTCTTAAAATTTTTTCTTAAAGTTCTTACTACAAAAGATATTTAATGGCTTATAATCTCAAAACGGAAGGTAAAGCAACTATCGGATTGGGAGATTATAATTGTAATCTCCTCAACATGTGTAGTACGTGGCCAACTAACGCTGCATGAGCATACTTTTAGAACTCTTGAATATTACTTATATACAGCACAAACCTCTTGTTTTTCTTTTCAATAAAAGAACGCTACCATTTTAACCCAAAGCATTTGATCGTAGCGCGGTGCCTTGTTTTTAGGACTATACAAGTTATTTAGTATTGTGAAAACTTTGGTAGGAATATTAGAAATATTTCTCGTTTAACGGAAAAATATCCAGTTTATTTTTAGTCATAGCGGCAGACGAAATCTGTATAATATCTATGATATACCTAAATTGAACTGTTCACACAAGTAATAATACATATGTGTACTTTTGCTTTCTCATTACAGCCACTTGATCGTGATCAACCGAACGGTCGTCCGCAATGGCGCTTCACAGTTTTCGCGCAAGACGAAGGTGGTGAGGGTCTCGTCGGTTATGCAGACGTGCAAGTGAACTTAAAAGATATAAACGATAATGCACCGATCTTCCCACAAGGCGTCTACTTTGGCAATGTGACAGAGAACGGTACTGCCGGTATGGTGGTGATGACAATGACAGCGGTGGACTACGATGATCCAAATGAGGGATCTAATGCGAAGCTTGTGTATTCGATTGAGAAGAATGTGATTGAGGAGGAAACAGGTTCGCCGATTTTCGAAATAGAGCCTGACACCGGTGTTATAAAGACTGCAGTCTGTTGTTTGGATCGTGAGCGCACACCGGATTATTCAATACAAGTTGTGGCCATGGACGGCGGGGGGTTAAAGGGCACGGGAACGGCTTCTATACGTGTGAAAGATATCAACGATATGCCGCCACAATTTACAAAAGACGAATGGTTTACGGAGGTGGACGAAACGGATGGCACAACATTGCCCGAAATGCCTATACTAACAGTGACGGTACACGATGAGGATGAAACGAATAAGTTCCAGTACAAAGTGATCGATAACAGTGGTTATGGCGCTGATAAGTTCACTATGGTGCGAAACAATGATGGTACTGGCTCACTAAAAATTGTGCAACCACTGGATTATGAAGATCAGTTACAAAGTAATGGTTTCCGCTTTCGCATACAAGTTAACGACAAGGGTGAGGATAACGACAACGATAAATACCATGTTGCCTACTCGTGGGTTGTGGTAAAGCTGCGCGATATTAACGACAATAAGCCGCACTTTGAACGGGCCAATGTAGAAGTGTCTGTATTTGAAGACACAAAAGTAGGCACGGAATTGGAGAAGTTCAAGGCGACCGATCCCGATCAAGGCGGTAAGAGCAAAGTTTCCTATTCAATCGATCGTTCGTCGGATCGGCAGCGACAATTTGCTATCAATCAAAATGGCTCGGTAACAATACAACGTTCATTGGACCGCGAAGTTGTGCCACGACATCAAGTAAAAATATTGGCGATTGATGACGGTTCACCACCAAAAACCGCAACCGCCACACTGACGGTTATTGTGCAGGATATTAATGACAACGCACCTAAATTCTTAAAGGATTATCGGCCTGTGTTGCCAGAGCATGTGCCGCCAAGGAAGGTGGTGGAAATATTGGCTACAGACGATGATGATCGTTCCAAGAGCAATGGTCCTCCATTCCAATTTAGACTGGATCCCAGCGCCGATGACATAATACGTGCGTCTTTCAAAGTGGAACAAGATCAGAGTAAGTAAATGCACGACTTTTAATATTAACTATTCTAAAAAGATGTATCTTAAATATTTCATCTTTGAAATTTGACTCAATTTACATATTTTTTTTTCTGAAGTTGTTTTGGATTTTAGAAGAAGTTGTCATGTGCATTGAAATGTGAAATTTTAATTGCATAAACTATAATATATTCCACAGTAAATTTCTTAAAACCTTATTTTCTTCTCTTCTCTTTTTGCCAATTACGGTAAATTCTCAAAAAAGTTGATAATGTACAACTCACTCAATCTGGCACAAACAATGGAGTGAAATTTCACATTTCATTGCTTTAATGGTGTCGCACTTCCTTAGTTCATCATGGAAATTCATGAGTCTACTTCAAAAGAAATATTCATTTAATGAAAACATTCTGTTGTGTAATATGCATTTTCTCCATTTCTTATACCCTTGCAACATGTTGCTGCAGAGTATATTAACTTTGTTCCCCTAACGGTTGTGCGTATTACTTAAACCTAAGCGATATAGTTATGGAGTCATATATACCATACATAACTGATCAAGACGACGGAAGAGACGAGATGTAATCCGTGTGGCTGATTTAATGTGCATATCAAGTTATGGAGTTATATACACTAAATTTTTCCCAGACAAAAAATGTCGGCACCTCTTCCGACAGTGTGAAAATATGTGAAATAGTATTCACTTAAATCTCACAACAAAAATGTAACATAAAAGCTTTACAGAAGCTGGCGACAAAATTGGACAATGAGCGTGGCACTGACCAACGCAACTCAGAAATGTTATATTTTATGAAAAAATATTTTGGTATTAAATGCTAAATGGTACCTTTAAGATATGTCAACTCACGAGCGAAATGAAAGTACCATGCATGCTGGCAATGTGAAAAGACATGAAATACATTCAAAATCGATTATCCATCTATCTGCATCTTCTTCAGTGTACATGAATACAAAAACGTCCAAGCTGCATTCTCAACAACAGAAAATTTAAATCCAAAACTTTGGGGAAAATTTCAAAATAAACATTTATCTCATGCCTTGTAGTTTTTAGAAGTAAGTTTGGGTTTGGTGCGTTGGCTCACCACTCCACATTGAGTAAGTAGTCTTTATTTCACAATTGACACTGAAAGTAATGTATATACAAGGTGCGTTCTAATGTAATCAAGACTTAAAAAACAGAACAAATGTTTTTTTCGGAAAAATCAATTTATTTTATTCAAAAGAGTTTCCTTCTGCTTGAATACAGCTTTTTGCACGGTCCAAAAGCATGGCGAACGAGTGTTTTATCTCGTTGTCCGGTGCAAGCCTTCTGAATGCATTTTTCCGAAAAGGAAGAAGTCGCACGGTGCCATATCAGGTGAATACGGGGAGTGGTTAATGGTTAAAATGTGATTTTTGGTCAAATAATTGGTCACAAGCGTCGATCGAATGTTGAATTCTGAGCAACTTTTGGTCGTCAGTCACTTTGTGCGGAACAAACCGTGCACACACCTTTCGTAAGCCCAAATGTTTGGTCAAAATGCGATAAATGGATGTTTTGAAGATGTTTAATTCCCTTCCAATGAATTTCAGTGATGACTTCGGCTGATTTTTGAAGAATTTACACAAAGTTTTAATGGAATTTCCAATGATCACGGATTTTGATTGGCCCACATGTTGATCATCATTTATATAGTCACGACTACTTTGAAAACGTTGAAACCACTGGTGCACTCCGTTATGGAATAGGCAATCATCGCCATAAAATTGTTTCATCAATTGAAACATTTCGGTAAAACAAAAATTAATGTTGGCTCTTTGTTCGAAGCGAAAATGCACCGATAACACAAACATACCGATACTTAAAACGCAACAACTTCACTTAAAATCGATTAAATGTCATAAAATTCTCACTGGACAATCGATGAAGTCCTGTTCACTTTGGAACGCACCTTTTAGTTGCTTCCCAGCAAGCGTTTAACTAAGGATGTTATATAGACATATATGTTGAAGTGTTACGTGGGTTTCCTGGGGTAAAAACTCCTCTTTTTCAAAAATTTGTTTATCATAATTAAATATTTTATTCGAATTTTTTATTGTTCCAAATATACACTATTAACAAAGAAATTCTGAAATTTTTGGAAACAAATATTTTAAACTTGGCCATTGAGAGATGCGCCCCCGTTGGCAGGATAATTACTTTCAAGGTCGCCTAAAGTTAAAAAATACCTGTTTCAGTTAAAACCTTAACTTAGAACTTAGATGAAGGAAAAAAAATCAAATTGGATTTTTGGTAAACATTGTTACAAAAACATTAAAATTTTTGTGAAATTTTCGCGAATTTTTTTTTAAATTTTTGTAATCGAAAAAAATTCTTCGTCAAAGTTTTTAAGAATTGTATTTCAAAGACCTGTGTAACATTTCACATCAGTTGATTAGTTCTAGAGAAGTATTGCCAACTAACCTCAAAAACACGTTTAAAGACGATGCCATTTCTTAACCTAGCTAGCCTCGGGCGAACAAGTTCTCAAGGCTCTGTCTCCGAAACTATTACTCGAATCAACTTCAAAATTTACAAAAATATTGTAGAGGTATTGTGGAAGTTAAAAACATAATAAAAAAAATAGATTTCTTGAAACCTGTATGTTCATATAAGCCCTTAATACTTGACTTTTGTTAAAATTATAAAATCGAATTCACTTTTCTTTTCAACCTCTTTATGGTTCGAGAGCTGGGAAAATCCTTTGCTCTAATTATTAACTGGGTTTGTTTTGAATTTCACTCTGAGTATGTTCTGATGTACATATTTCTGTATACTCATGCTCTACTTGATAATTGGCACAATTGTTCTGCCCTTGCTTCCTTGTTTTTTTTCGGACAACATGAAACAATGAAATTAGTTTTCGTTCTAAAAGCTAAACGCCAAATTTTCAATGGGTAAACCATTTAAATGAATTGTGCATTGCAACTTTTACATTTGGTTTTTGCCTTTGTTTTGGTATGCACAAACGCTGGGGACAACGCCATAAACTGCGCTTTATGCATACATAATTTATATGTATTAGAAGCACTTGGGGAGATGCACATGTGGCGAAGAATAAACCAAACTATTTCGCTAAAGCAATTTAAAGTTCCTAGTTTTTATAGCGAGGTTTAGAAAATCAGCAATAAACCTTATGTTAAATGTATTTTTCCTCGCTTTACTCTTTCACCAACACAGAGGGCGCCAACGGCGATGGCATGGCTGTAATCTCCTCGCTGCGTTCCTTCGATCGCGAGCAACAGAAGGAGTACATGATTCCGATTGTGATCAAGGATCACGGCTCACCCGCAATGACCGGCACCAGTACACTGACTGTCATCATTGGCGACGTAAATGACAATAAAATGCAACCCGGATCCAAGGATATATTTGTTTACAATTATCAAGGACAGTCACCGGATACACAAATCGGACGCGTCTATGTGTATGATCTGGATGATTGGGATTTGCCCGACAAGAAATTCTATTGGGATCCGCAGGAACATCCACGATTCAAATTGGACGAGGACTCAGGCATGGTAACGATGCGTGCCGGTACACGTGAGGGACGTTATCATTTGCGCTTTAAGGTGTACGATCGCAAACATACGCAAACCGATGTGCCCGCCAATATTACAGTGACAGTGCGCGAGATCTCTCACGAAGCGGTAATCAATTCAGGTTCTATACGCGTCTCTGGCATAACCGATGAGGATTTCATAAGAGTCTGGAATTATCGTACACAGAGTTTGAGTCGTTCGAAATTGGATCGTTTCCGTGACAAATTGGCAGATCTGCTGAATGCGGATCGCGAGAACGTAGATATATTCAGTGTGCAACTGAAGCGTCGGCATCCACCACTAACCGATATACGTTTCTCCGCGCATGGCTCGCCCTATTACAAACCAGTACGTCTCAATGGTATTGTGCTGATGAATCGAGAGGAGATTGAGAAAGATGTGGGATTCAATATCACCATGGTTGGCATTGACGAGTGTTTGTATGAGAATCAGATGTGTGAGGGCTCCTGCACAAATACATTGGATATCAGCTCTTTGCCATATATGGTGAATGCGAATAAAACCGCCTTGGTGGGAGTGCGCGTTGATACGCTTGCTGAGTGTACTTGCGGCGCTCGCAACTTTTCGAAACCTGAGTCGTGTCGTAACACACCCTGCTACAATGGTGGACGTTGTGTAGATACACGGTTTGGTCCGCACTGTTCCTGCCCGGCAGGCTATAATGGTCCACGCTGCCAGCAAACCACACGCAGCTTCCGAGGCAATGGCTGGGCTTGGTACCCACCACTAGAAATGTGCGATGAATCACATTTGAGTTTAGAGTTCATAACTAGAAAACCGGATGGTCTTTTTATCTACAATGGACCGATCGTTCCACCAGAACGTGAAGAAATGATTATTACGGATTACATAGCACTGGAATTAGAGCGTGGTTATCCACGTTTACTTATGGATTTCGGTTCCGGTACTTTAGAACTGCGCGTGAAGACAAAGAAGTCGCTCGATGACGGTGAATGGCATCGTATCGACATATTTTGGGATACAGAGAGCGTACGCATGGTTATAGACTTCTGTAAATCTGCCAACATTAGTGAAATGGAAGATGGCTCGCCACCCGAATTTGATGACATGTCTTGTCAGGCGCGTGGACAAATACCACCCTTCAATGAATACCTAAATGTTAATGGACCACTACAGGTGGGTGGCATCTACCGCGACCTCTTCGATCCGTCACTCTATTTTTGGCATTATGCGCCCAATGCCAAGGCTTTTGATGGCTGCATACGTAATTTGATATTTAATTCTAAGCTCTATGACCTGGCGCATCCCGGACTGTCACGCAATAGCGTAACTGGTTGTCAACAAACTGAAGAAGTGTGCTCGCAATCAGAGCAGACAGCACGCTGCTGGGAACACGGCAACTGTGTCGGCTCACTTTCCGAAGCACGTTGCCAGTGCCGCCCCGGCTGGACAGGACCTGCTTGCAATATACCCACCATACCGACCACCTTCAAGCAACAGAGCTACGTTAAGTATGCGCTTAGCTTTGAGCCAGATCGATTTAGTACACAAATACAATTACGTTTTCGTACACGTGAGCAACACGGCGAACTGTTTCGTGTTTCGGACCAACATAACCGCGAATATGGAATTTTAGAAATTAAGGATGCGCGTCTACACTTCCGCTACAATCTCAATTCACTGCGTACGGAGGAGAAAGATTTATGTTTAAACGCAGTTGCGGTCGACGATGGTCAATGGCATGTGGTGCGCATTAATCGTTATGGTTCGGCAGCTACACTGGAGCTGGATGGTGGCGAAGGCCGCCGCTACAATGAGACATTCGAATTTGTGGGTCATCAATGGCTGCTGGTCGACAAGCAGGAGGGTGTATATGCTGGTGGCAAAGCCGAATATACGGGCGTACGTACGTTTGAGGTATATGCGGATTACCAAAAGAGTTGCTTAGACGACATTAGGTGAGTTTGCTGCCTTGAACAATGTGCTATATGTATGCATGCATGATGAACCCTACCTAAACTTTAGAGAGTTTGGCGTTTCCATTGCCCTCTAACTCTTTCCATTACTAACTGTTTATTCATGCGGATATTTATTTTATGTTTGCATTTGCTTATAGGCTTGAGGGCAAACATTTACCCTTGCCACCCGCGATGAATGGCACGCAATGGGGTCAAGCGACTATGGCGCGTAATCTGGAAAAGAACTGTCCTTCTAATAAACCTTGTTCAAATGTCATATGCCCGGAGCCCTTCGAATGTGTGGATCTGTGGAACGAATATGAGTGCACGTGAGTATCGCTTAAGTTCAATATATGTTGCAATTGGCACGCAAGCACATTACTTTTGCCTTACTGTCGTTTGTTTTCATAACATTTTTTGAGTTTCTCATTCCATTGCATCATAAATGGAATACTAATAAATAAATACAGACAACTTAACGTATAAAGAAGTATTTAGAAAACATATTAATAATATTTTTATAGCAGTTTAATAATTGATTCCAGGTTTTCTTCTTCTTGAGTAATTTTTGATAAACATATCAGTCAGTACTGTGGACAAGTTCCTCATCATTACAATGTCATTAGAACTATTTTGAAAATGGTTCTTATGGAATAATAACATATAAGTTTTTACTAAAGTATATAGTCGAGTACAGAAAAAGTCGAATTTCAATTAGTGCTTTAGTGCAAGTTTAAAACAAAAAATTCTTGAAAATGTTGGCTAAAGAAAAAAATATAAATATATCGCACAATAAAAGTGATATAGCAATATTTATTGCCGTCACTGCCAAAAATTTATAAAGATAGTTGCTAAGTCTTCCTATAATTTAAAATAGTATTCACAGGAAATGTACTAAATCGGCAGTAAATTAAATGTAAAAGCAACATTTAACGATTTTTCACTTTCGAAGCTCTTCAAAATACATTTATACTTTTTTTTTTTTATTAGAATCGTATAGTATGTAGCTACAAACAACACGCGTACAGTCGAGTTCACCGACAAGTGAGCAAAGCTCTCCATGTCATAAAAAACAACAAAACGCAGTAAAAAAACGAGCACTGAAATGTCGACAGGAATAAAAACACAAAGTCGCTTTTTATAGCTTACCCATACACTCTCCATTACGAAAAGTCACTCGTGTTTTTGTGCTAAACGCTTGCAACATTCAACCGCAGACACTAGCTTTTACTTGCATCATTACACTTTCGACTGAAAAAGCGTCTTTCAACAACAATTTTCCATACTCGTGAAAATGCTGTGCGGGGAGTAAAGTGAAGTGTGACGATCAAGGTTGGCGAAAGAAATCACTCACTCAGCATTAGAAGAACAAAAATACCATACATAGGCATAAAATTTTTTAAATCGCTCTCTCGAGAGCAGACATTACTACGTAACATTATAAACATGGCAAGTCTGTGTGAATACGAATCTGTGCCAAAGTGTAAATATGTACAAGCTTATTTTTAGTTATATATGAGTAAGTATCATACATGCTGTTATTCGCTCAATTCAAGGTTCATATAAAGCTCTGTTGGTATTCATCTTCAGTTCTTTTATGAAATAAAGTTTGTCCGAAAACTTTCATTTCTAAAGTTTTTTTTTTTTTTTTGGAGAAGAACATTTCATGTACATATGTATGGATGAAAGCAAGGGATATAAATAGCAAAATACTGTTGCTCTAAACTAAAAGCAAACGTAATTTTCCAGACTGAAATTAAATGAAACAAGTTTCATTTGAGAACGAATTGAGCTTTAAAATTTTATTTAACTTAATTTTTTTGTAAAAAAATGTAACATTTTTTTAACAAATCCGTCGTTGTTTAAGCTTGCGCAATTACATACATAGTTCTACTGGCTTTGGAGCCCGTGTTTTTCCTGCATCATCTGAAGCTCTCAAATTAAATAAATTTCATGAGGCACTGTTGCAAATTATATACTATACATACATATATGTTCCTACTATGTCTGCATAAGCTTAGTTACAGACATACAATGGTCTGCACATATAATTACTCATGCTAACATTTCAGATACGTTCATCGTACGCTCTCCGTTTTTTTTTTTTTTTGTTTTTTTTTTTTTGTTTTTTTGTGTATCTTTAAATTGTGTTATTTATGAGATGATGTATATTTCTCTGGAAAATATAGCAAGATTAAAAAAAAAATAAAAAAATAAGCTAACATAAAATATTTCACCACTACATTCACAAAATTGTATATCTGACACCGACTCTGATGATAAATTGTTGAAGGCACATAAAAAAATCATAGAGTTTTATAAACTAATTTTTTTCTCATTTAGCTTTAAACTAATTGGCGCTTTAAATACTTTAAAATATTGTGAGAAATTGTGTAATTCATTAAATTAGTCAAACGATAAATAATAGGAAACTATTTTTTGCAGCCATTAAATTATTACATATTTACATTGATCAATACCCTTATATGTAACCCTTTGTACTCTGTTGTACCCTCTCCGGAGATATTCAGGTTTGTTAGTGAGTACGGCGAATTGAGTTATTTCCGTGCAACTTTTTGAGACATGCATGTCTGCCTGAAGCTTTCTTTTGAAATGGCACAAGAAATTAATCAACAATACAAGAACATGAAACATATGCAAACGACGGTCTGAGCACTTCTCGGAATCACTTGAAAAGAGCGATAAGAAGAGTTTGTAGAAGAAAGGTCGGAATAAGAAAACGGTAATGTATAGTTCTGACTGGAAAACATCTGGCTGCAGGCGACAAGCAAATTATTATTATCAAAGAAGCACCCACCAGCCCGCAAGCATATAGGATAGTGTTTTAAAATGTTTCATACTCAGCAAATTTATAAACATTAAAATATGGATTTTTTTACCTTCTCGATCCCAACCAATTCATATACAGGGTTTGTCCGGAAAATAATAGGGCTGACTCTTTAAACACTTTCCAAAATAGGTTCCTTCTGCGTCGATGCACGCTGCCAGCGCGATTTCCAAACATTGAAGGCGTCACGGAAGGCACTCTCCGGAATAGCCCTCACTGCCGAGGTACATGCTGCTTGGGTCCCCTCTGTCGTCTCAAAATGCTTTGCGGAAGATTGCTTCGCCGTAATTTCTGATAGTTAGTGAGCACTTTTGGGAACATCTTAGCGCACATATTGCTCATGTTCAAGTGCTCCCACACTCCTATTACTTTTCGGACAAACCCTGCAATAAGTTATATGAAGATTTTTAAATGTTTTTTTCTGCTACAGAGTAGTTGATAGCCAACGTTCTAAATCGTGCGAATTGCAAAGGGTTAAAGCATCATTGCATCTCCCTTTGGCTACTACATTAACTAATCCACTAATCCAATGATTTGGATATGAACCCTACTAAGGACTTATATTAGGTTCAAATTAGGTAAAGTTAAAAAATTTATTGTCGCGACGAGAGCACGTAGAGCTTTCCAGAAAAAAAAACAGCCTACAAATCCCACTTCCTTATTTTTCTTTCCTAAAAGCGTCTCTTCAACCAGACAACGCTACCACTCTTAAATATCAAAAGCAACTGGAAGTAGCGACATTAAGTTTCAAATTTTGTTTACTTATTGCTTTATGTCATTAAATTTATTGAACTACTGTTAGCTGTGCCAATTCATGTGCGAGAACACACTATTTGTAAAGGCTTGTGGTCATCATTTCCAAGTAAGAAAAAAAAAGCTTCAGCCATAATTGTAGATAAACATGTTGGAAGTTAATCCAATCTCATTTCCACAAATAGCAAAATATATTTTTCTTTAATATAATAATTAAGTATGTGGTTTCGGAGTAAGCAGCTTCTTGTTATGGCGTGATATTCCAAGTAAACGCTACAGCTTTTGCTCATTTTATGCAAATTACAAATGCTGCAATTGTTGCAATTATTAGTATTTACCATTTTCCCATTAAATATGAAAATAATACCGAGAAATGTTTGCAATGAAAATGAAATTCATGTGAAGTCCTTTATGCATATTTCTTGCTTAAAGAAACTGCATTGAAACAATTTACACATAAACAAAATCTAATACATACTTGATACTTGGTAGCTTGGTCTTTAATTACTATTGTTTAATGGTCTCACATAGAGTGTGGGAAGAGCTAACAGTTTGTGCTTTAAGTTTTCATTCAACTTGTTCATTTTCATAATGAAAGCTAAAAAGAAAGCTGAAAGCATGTCCTGAAAAATATAATCTTTAATTATTTTCAAACGCTTCGCCACTATTTGCTCTTCGCTAAGGTATAATAGGTTCTCGCATATTTTTTGTGTTTTGATAAATTGCAAAATCTATTGTGCTTTTCAAATGACTTTGTCTTCAAGGCAGAATGCAAGCCGAAACTCTGGCATGAAGATATAAAATTTTAACTGCTAAGTACATGTATCATCTATCCCTTGCTTTCAGTTCTAGATATCAAAAATCAAGTTGTTGGACAAATTTTATATTTTATGATGCATTTTAAATTTCTTTAGAGCTGTTCAGCCATGTTAAAAAATATAAGTAAAAGAATTGCATCTTGCAACGGTAACTTATGCTACTACTATTGTTCGAAATGTTGCAATAAAATAAAACTACAAAGTAAATATAATAATTCGAGCACTTTCACTTCTATTAAATATGAAAGCTTTAAGTAAGCCACAAAACTTTCCTTATCAATGTCACATATTCGGCATATTGTCGGCTTAAAACTTGCCGAAGAGATACCACATCAGCCACTTCCGTAACCGCAAACTAATACGCATACAGCCGAGGCAGTTTGGCTGTTGCACACACACACCTGTCACTATTCAAAGAAACTTTTCCTTTCTAAATTATTAGTGAAAACATGCAGAGCATTTGTGCTGAATTCGAAAACTTTCAAATTTTCGAAATTCTAATAAGACTCCAAACCAAACTATGTGGACACAGCCAAACAACGATAACAAAAGTCGAAGCTAAGTGAAGTAAACGCAATAAACCACAATTGAAGCAGTTGCAAGCAAGGTTGATTAACAAAAAAAAAAAAAAAAAAAAAAAAAAAAAAAAAAAAAAAGGAAAAAAAAAAAAAAAAAAAAAAAAACAAAAAAAAAGTAGAAAAGCGGGTTTCAAGTAAACGAATGCATAAGCAAACTATGTACAAACATGTAATGTTCGAAAGTACATATGAGCGCATACAATACACATTATATGTACGTTAGATATATTTATATAATTTGTGCAAAGTTTAAGGCAACTTCGACTGCATTGAATTTGACAAGAAAAGCCTTTCGGAAAGTTTCGAAGCACAATGCAGTTTGGACATTGGGGTGCGGATGCTTTCACATGCTTTGTTGCCCAATCTTGTGAATATAGACATATACTTATGTAAACACATATATGATGTATGTAAGCGCATGCATATGATTCAATTTTGTTAACTTTAAACCAAGTTGTACAGTCTAGCCGTGAAGCCAGCAAGTCGCTGCTACCGCAACTTCTGTGCATAGAAGAATTAGATCGAAAACTAACACACACACACATGTACACAAGAGTTTTGGTTAGAATTGTCGATTGGGTCTTACGAAACTCATAGAAACTTTAACTGAAGTAACTGTTACCGCTACTGGGTAACTAACCGGTCTTTTAACTGTTAGGTTGTTGTGTGAGTTTCGATTAGAATTGCCAATTGTGTCTTAAGCAACTCATAGAAACTTTAATGAAAGTAACTGTTAGCGCTACTGGGTAACTAACCGGTCTTTTAACTGATAGTTAGGTTGTGGGCACTTACTTCGCCTAACAAAGTGCAACCACTACTTGAAAATTAAATAAATTCAAACATCAAGTTCAAGTATTTCATATTTTCGTGTGATCCTAACACATTACCATTTGTATAACCATTGGTGAACGTTAAGCATTTACACACACACAGACACATATCGCTTTTGAGCAAAAATCCATAAAATTCATGACTTTCACATAGACTTTTTGCCAAATTCTAAAATCCTTATATTGAGTATAAGCATTTGCATATAACTTTCACCTGATATATAACATAATTATAAATAAATCGTATGTATGTATATCTTTTTCACCACCACCACCACAACTGCCACCATCGTCATCAACGCAAAAAAACAAATAAATAAAATATTCATGCGCTGCACGTAAATAAATTAATAAAACAACAACAATATAACAACCGCTTCATAAAATCAAAACAAACCAACAACAAAATCTTCGACATTTCAAATGCGCAACAACGGCTTGTAGTTGCGGTGAAGGACGCGTCATGTCGCCAGACGCCAAAGGCTGCATGGATCGCAACGAATGCCTGGACTTGCCATGTCTAAACGGTGCCACTTGCATCAATTTGGATCCACGTCTGCGCTACCGTTGCATCTGTCCGGATGGCTTTTGGGGCGAGAACTGCGAATTGGTGCAAGAGGGACAGACGCTGAAGTTGAGCATGGGCGCACTGGCGGCCATACTGGTTTGCCTGCTGGTCATACTGAGTGAGCATTCAATGAGTAGAAAAAACAAATATATGAGCATCGAAGATTATGACAACAAGAAAAAAAACATAGAAGTAGAGAATAATAATAGCAAATGCAAAACAAGCGTCGTCAAAGCGTCAAAAACAACAAAATGAAAAATAAATTGAAATCAGACAAGTCTAGCAATTTTTGCAACAACGCCTCTGCTCCCCGTAGCAACAATTTTTTATACGCATCTTCAGCTTTGATTTTTCTCAATATTAAATCATTGTTTCTTATATTTATGCTTAGGCTTAAAGCATTAATTTGTTGCCTCAATGGTCACAAGCGAAAAACATTTTACTTTTGATTTTAAATACATATACAATAATAGTTTTCTATTCATGCAACATTAATAATAATTAAAACATATACATACATATATATTTTTTTTAATTTCATCTAACTATGTTATTGCCCGATTTGTAGCGTTGGTGGAAATGCTCTGTTGGTGTTGGTGCTAATGTAAAAGAAATATGTTGGACCCAAACATCATCACTTATATATATATATACATATCTATATTTCTTTATATATTTACTTGTATAAATGTTAGCAAAGTTAGTTATACATATACATACATACATGTATGAAGATCGCATTTCCTTTCGACCTGCCTCATTCCAAGCATATCACTTCATATCATCATAAGTAACAACCATGCCCATTTTGCGCTTCAGCCACTTTATATACATACATACATACATATATAGCATTCATTCTGTTCTTATCTCATCATGCGCCTTTCATTTCATTCATTCATTTCAAATCCCTACCCACTTAGCCATTTCGTAGCTTGCATGCCATTTTTTCAAGCGTTTAGCGCACTGTCGCATACACATCCACATCCACATCCATTTGTACGTGTGTTTACATGGAAGCTTATACTCAGCCATACATATGCAAACTTTTTTGTCTCATTTGCCACATTTGCTGCAAATATATTGTGCTCTATTTACTTGTGTGTCACAACATTGTCGCATTTGCACCTTATCATGTTTACATGCCACAAATTCTTGCCACTTAATATTTACATAATACGACAGTTTTTTAGGCTTTTTATTTAAATATTTACACTTTCCATTAGCCATATTATATTCACGAAATAACACAAATACACCGCATAGTATAAAGGTGTGATATTTGAATTGTGGCCACGCATTTTTTAACGCGCCTCAATGCTTGCTTCTTTTTTCACTCATCTCATTATTGCACCGTAAATGTATGCATACACATACATATATATATTTAGGTATAAAAATTTAGTATTCATTGCGTATTATTTGTTCTGTGTGTCCATTTAGTGCAGCATTCAGAGTCATCTCTTCTCTATGGTATACGTTGAAAGCAACGCATGGCGTGCCACATATACGCGTATTTACAGTAGAGAACAGTAGAGAAAGAGTCAGAAAAAGTGTGTGAACCTATTAGCTTTTGTGGAGCTGTGTGTTAGCTGCACATTTTTTAAAATGCTCTAAAAATTCTGTACAACGGTATGTACAGGTATTTTCTCGGTTTGTTGATAGTGAAAAATTTCACTGCAGCATCAACTGCTGTTTGCCGCATTGGTCAATATTGGTTTAATGCCATTGGCTAATAGGAAATATAGTGTAAATTTAAATAATGAGCTGCACAAAAATGGTAGCGTTAATTATTAACTCAGGTAATTATGTAATATAATATTTAAATATTTATAATATTTCTATGACTGCAAAAGTACAACAACAAGGACATAAAAAAATTTCAGTGTAAAAAAACTGTCAATAGATTAATGCCCTTATTATGTAAGACAACCAACGATAGTTGTCGTCCAACAGACGTGATAACCACAGCATTTTGTATTATGTATGATAGTTGAATTTTATTCAATTCTTGAAAACTGTAGACAGCTATTGTGTCCTTTCCGCAATTTGTCATATCTGTATGCGTTTAAAGCGATCGCGGTATATGGCAGGTTGCCAAGCGCAAAGCAAAATTTGATGGTGCTGTWATAGCCTTACATAATACGCATTTAGTAATGTCAAAAAGATAATTTTCGAAAGGAAAACTGTGAAATCACCTGTGGACGAAACTTTTTTCACAGAAGTATTTTTCAGATGTGATATTGAATATGCATATATAATAATATTTTATATTTATATACGAAAGGACTCCGAATTATATATGTGAATCGGAGCACAAAAGAAAATTTCAAAATCCATAGCAATTGTTAACAAGACCATTACCTTTTTTTGGACGTCAAGATCAATATTTTGTTCGTCAAGCGTACTACAAAACATGTGACGGGATGGAAGTGGAATGCTATAGAATTAAASTTAGACTTGCCATAAATTCTGTTACAAGGTTTACAAAGCTTTAATCGCAACAAATTTTCAGAAAAAATTACGTTATTTTTTATAAACATATGTATGTATAAGTGAACAGGGCGATGAGATGAGTTAAAATCAGATAGACTGTCTGTYTATCCGCATATYTGTATCAAAATTTCAATTGTAAACTTTTTATAGAAAATATCGGACAATCTGTGAGATATGTTATATAAATCCGAAGATTATTTTTTATAAACATATGTATGTATAAGGGCGATGAGATGAGTTAAAATCAGATAGACTGTCTGTCTATCCGCATATCTGTATCAAAATTTCAATTGTAAACTTTTTATAGAAAATATCGGACAATCTGTGAGATATGTTATATAAATCCGAAAAGAATCCTTTTCTGATAATAGTATGTCTGTACGTTCAAACTGGTTTGAGAACTGCGGTTCYCTAAGAAGGAGTTTAAAACTAGGACAAAAGTTTACCAACAAGATGTTTTAGAAGGCTGTGCAAAGTGGTTAAAAGAACTCTTCCTGATTTCATAGCATTTGATTGGCTACCTGGTGGTCCAGATTTAAATCCATTGGGCTACAGTCAGAAAACCTAACCTGTTGAATACCCCACAGAAATTTAGAGAATCACAAAAAATCGTTGGTTCGAGCAGCGTCATCAGTACCAATAGAAACTGTGGGTGCTTCTGTTCATCAATTGCCGAATTGTATGAAGACTTGTATGAAATCATGACYATTTCGAACATAATTTTGAGCACCGCTCATTTATTGTAGGCTATTTATTAAACATTACTTTACTAAAAGATATACTTCTTAAASTTGTAACAGAATTTTTGGCAGGACTAAATATATGGCTGAGACTGATTAGAGACTATAGTGTGGAGTTAGAAGACAGATTGTGACTCTCCTACTCTTAAGCCTTCACAAAACTTTGTGACGTTATCGCTGAAGGCATTATTCAGAACTGAATACTTTCATTTGCCAGAAACGAGTCATGAAAATTATTTAATGTCAAAATCTAGTATATTTATGTGGAATCAGTGCTTTTCAKAGATTTCTTGTGCATTTAAAAAGCRCTGTCGCACCACTACTGCATAAGCACTTAAGTACTTTGCCACAACTGGCGCTTTCGAYGTGAAAGTAAATTCAACTTTCCTAATTCCCCCATCAAAGCAGCGGCAAAGAACTTTCTTTGAGCGTCAAACTCCCAAGTGAGCGCCTTAAACCCACGCTTCGCAGTACCCGAATAATGCGACCAATTTCTTTCTTCAAATCTCCTCTTCAAGTATGTGCAATCGTAACAACTTTCGCAGACTTATACGCACACGTTTGCTTCCAATTCGCTTATCTACGACTATGTGCAAGTGTGTTATGTAATATGTGTGGCTGTATGCGGATAGTAGCATTTAGAAAATATTTTTACGGAAATATTTTCACAACAAAATATCTATATTTCACGGCATGTTGCAGCATTTTGAATAATTTATGGTGTTGTCATGTTGCCCTACATCCATACACATGCTCACTCGTACATATAACTTGAATGCTTTTGAAAATCCATACTTAAGCGCTGATATCGCACCAATAAGTGCGCATATTCACTTTTAGACAACTTTTGCGACACACGTGCGCGTACGACTGTGTGTATGTGKCAAGTGTTTGCCTCCGCGATTCAGGTAGCCAAATAGCTTCGTCTATYAAACAAACAATTTGGCTGGCTGCTGTTTCTTTAAGCGCCATGCAATTCTACGTAAAGTTAACAAATCCACTGCACACGACACGCCGTACCATCACCAAAGCCGGCCTGTCAGTTGCAAGCGAAGGATGCTTTGCCAATGGAATCACCAGCTCACACACTGTGATTTCGCGCTGCCAGTTGCTTATGCGCCGATTTAGCAGCTGTGTGTTTGCCTACTGTGTGCGGCGTTTTTTGAGTCTCCTCTCCATTACTATCCATTGCCGTTATTGTGTGGCAGCAACGTGTGTACAAATTTTTCGCTGCGTCTTTGAAAATTCCATTTTGCGCTTGCGACTTTTTCGGTTTGGTGAAAAAATATCAGTTTCTTCTTAAATAAAATAGTTGCGAATCGTTTTACTGGCAACTGTAAATAAAGTAGAAAATGGAAACGCTCCTAGAAGAGGGAATTTGAAGCTAAACTTTTGGAAATATTTTCTCGCAAAAAATATACAAAAATATGGTAGTAAATATACGAAATGCGAAAATAAATGCAAAAGAAATTTATAAAATAAGGGCATAAAGTATGGTTGGCATGAAATATGGTGCCAGAAATGTGCGTAGGTATGTGTTCAACCAAACAGAAGCGTGGAGTCTAGCGTGGAAGCGGAAAGCTTGAGCTCTAAGAAAATTCGCGCATAGTTTTGGTCAGTTATGGTTGATAGGAAATAAAGTAAAAGTTTTAGTTTTTATCTTTTTTCTCAGCTTTCTCAGAGTAAACTGTTAAGTTGCCGTTATTTATAACCGCACAGCAGGGAGCATTGTAACGCCGCAGCAGCAACTAAGTTTTTCYCGCCTCTCACATGCCTATCATATATGTAGACCCTGATATCTTAATATATATACATATGTACATATTGGYATGTGGTGAAMGAGTTAAAGCAGGATTTGCGAAGATAGAAAGTAATAGTAGAA